AAAAAAAGAATCAGTCCTCCAACAGGGCAGGGCACCCAGGCTCCGTCTGAGCACACAGACTGTGATGGAGTTCCTGTGGGCCCAGAAGGTAGGTGGTAGTGGGGAATGGCTGCACCTCTGTTCACCAAGCAGGTGTGGGGTATAAGAACATAAAAGTAACAAGAGGAATGTCATACCTTTTCAGTCTTGCGGATCCAGAGTGTCCTTGGGGTTGCTGGAAAGCAGAACGTGTTCTTAAGCTCCAGGAATCTGCGAGAGCGCTATCTCTTTAAATATCCAAAACAGTCAAGTCGCTTTTAAACCTTCAAAATGGTGGCATCCTCTGGACCAGCAAAAGTCCACAGCTCAGCCCACCTTTCTCTTCACCTTCTCCGTTTATTCCCCAACCACCATGCACAGTCCTCCGTGCAGTCCCTGGCTAGCAGGGCTGATGTTTTGGTTAATTCTTAGGTCCCACCACCACTTGGGAATCTCCAAGCTGTCTGTGCTATCAAGATCACTCAGGATCACTGCCGAACTGCAGCTCCATATGTCTCCTTTTTTTGTATTTTCATGGAAATTCTTCAGCTAGTTGGGGTTTAGTCCACTTCTATATCCTTCCCTTCAAGGCTCAGGGATCCAGGATTATCTTCTGTGTCTGTGTTAATTGGTTTACCTGTTCTTTGTTCAAGAAAGTCCACCATCTTGCCGGGAACCAGAATTTTTTCCATTATTCTTTAAGATCGATCTTGAAATGTTCTTTTTGAGGATGAATGTGGTGCCATTTGTCTTCACCTGGTCATTCCAAGCATGCTAGATCACATGATTTTCTGATTCAAAATGGTCAATACCAGTCCATTTCAGTTCACTGGTGCTTAGGGTATCCATCTTTATCTGCTCCATTTCATTTTTTATAACTTCCAATATTCCTAGATTCATACTTTGTACATTCTACATCCCAATACTTAATGAATGTTTTCAACTCCTCTTCTTATTTTCAGTCATTCCACATTAGCAAATGAAGGTCTCAAAAGCTTTACTTCATCTGTGTCATTAAAGTTGACCCTACAATGAGGAGGCAGCTCTTCCCCAGTCATATTTGGAGTGCTTTCCAAACTGAGGGATTCATCTTCCAGCACTGTATCAGAGAGTGTTCACTGCTATTCATAAGGTTTTCACTGGTGAATTTTTTTAGAGGTAGATAATCAGGTCCTTCTTCCTAGCTTATTAGTCTAGAAGCTCTACTGAAACCTCTCCACCTTGCATGACCCTGATGGTACTTGAAATACTGGTGGCATAGCTTTCAGCATCACAGCAACACACAGGCCACCATTGTATGACAAACTGACAGGTGGGTAGTGGGAACTAGCAGGTGTTAATTATATGGTTACATCACATCTCTTAGTATAATACCTAAAGTGAAGGTCAGCTCCACAAATTACCATATATGTGATCTGGAGTAAATTACCTCCTCTTATCTTCAAATTAAGTATTTTTTATCTGTCTTATAAAAATTATAATATCTACCTCATACTGCAATTCATTCATGAAGTTGTAAATATCTCTTGAGCTATCACAGGAAATGTACTTAGCACAGTGCCACATACTGGACAATTATACAACATTAAATTTAAAATATTGGTGTTTTCATTACTTCTCCATGGGGAACCTTGAGTTTCTGAAGCCTAACCTTGAACTCTCAGATTGTAAAATGCAGAACTCCTCCAAATCAACTGTCTGTCCTAGGAGACAAAGTCAAGACTAAATCTTCCAACTCTGTCAAGCATGATTCATGGGTCATTGAAGTTGTTCCATGTAGAACATCAGGAGGCCCTATATTTTATATTTCCTGAGGTATGTGGAAAATATTAGGAAGTATGACCAGAAGAATGGCAGTCTGGAAAGCTCCTAAATCTTGCCCCTGCATCAGAATGACAGTGGGTTCTATTATAGTCAATTCCCTGTGTAGTTTGCTTAGTTCTTGTGTTGGCTCAAGCTTAGATTAAACCAGCCCCCACATACTGTGTAGTGGTGATTTGCATTGATTGTTGTTGTTGTGCTGTTGAATCAGACCCGACTCATAGCGACCCCTCCTTGGGTTTCTGAGGCAATATCACTACGAAGTAGAATGCCCCATCTTCCTTCCAAGGAGTGGATTGATAGGCCACCAAATTTTAATTCCTGGGTAGAGTGATCATATTTGTTTTTATTTTATTTTTTTTTAGTAATTCAAACTAGATTCTTAGAGAAAGAAGAATTGCTGTTTGTAATTATACTAGCTTTATAAGCATAAACCAGGACTGTCCCAGGGACACCAGGATATATGATCACCTTAGCTTTTGTTCTTACCACCATTTTAAAAGGCTTTTTAAAGTCCCATCTAACATAGCCTTATCAATTCCCTTCCATCACCAAAGATCAATAATCAAATAAATGTAAACCAAATTAAATGCCATTGAGTTGATTCCAACTCATAGTGACCCTTCAGGACAAAGTAGAATTGCACCATGGTATTTCCAAGGCAGTAAATCTTTACAGGAGTCTACCTCATCTATCTCCCATGGAGCAGCTGGTGGGTTTGAACTGCAGTCATTTTGGTTAACAGCACAATGCTTTAACCACAGCACCACCAGAGTTCCAAAGAATCAAATGGATCATGTAAATGGTGCCATAGTGCCTAAGGCATTTGACTGCTAACCAGAAGCCTGGCAGTTCAAACCCACCAGCCACTCCTTGGAAGGAAGGTTGGGCAATCTACTTCCATAGTGATACACCTTGGTAACCCAAGGAGGGGTCGCTATGAGTTGGATCCAACTTGATGGCAGGGAGAGTTAAATTAAATCCTTCCTGAGAATCTCCAAGGTTTGCTTCCTGCTCACCGTACAATGTTTTAAACAGTGTGTCTTCTGCAAGGCAAGAGCACATGCAGCTCAATGTGGACCTCTAATAGAGAAATCTTGTCTATGGCTCTAATGGCTTTCTTCCCAATTTGTACCTGAGACATTGTATAAAAGACCTTAGATTCCTGGTGGTGCTAAAGGTAGATCCAGTTCCTGACACACTGGGACAAATAAGCCCTAAAAGGCTAGGTCCAGTTCCTGGACACTGGAACAAATAAGACTTACAGGATACCTCACATCATGTCATCATGTTCTAGATTACGTCACTGCCTTCCAAGGGGCAAACGTGGAGAAACATTCGTTCGTAGTTTTCAGCAAGTAAAACACGCCACTTCTCCATTCACTAGGAAGTGTGTAAAAGGAACACTGTAATGTTATTCCTCTTATGGCCTTAGTGTGTGTGTATGTGTTTGTGGGGGGTGTTTTAATCTAATTTTCCAAACTCATTTTTCACAATAAAATCCGTCCTATCTCAACTCCAGAACCTTTACTTCCAATTTTATTACCTGCTTCTAGTTTTCCTACTTGTACAACTTGAACTTTTGTTCTAATTTCTCACCAAAAGCTTCAATTACTTCCTCAGTCATGAATTAGATTCTCTTCTGTCTAAGCCCTTCAGACAAAATTGGGCATCTCTGAAAGGCATCTCTTACGATTGGCCAGGAATGACCCTTCTTTTGCACTACCCACCATAGACTGTGCAACCATCCAGTAATCAAGAACGCAATCCAACAAACAAGGCACTGCAATATTTTGTGTTCCTTTTGCCTGTTTCTTCTTTTGTAAATAAGGTGTATTTTAAAAATTACTTCTACCATTGATACATTATTTTTACATTTATAGACTAATGTTTAAAAGCAAGTGCAAGTCTATTGAATCCTACCCATGCTATCAAGATGAAGAAACTAAGATTGCTTTTGCTGACTATACTGTGAACTATCCAGACCAGCCGCCAAATTCCTGGTTTATCGTTTTCAGGTGAGATCATTATACACTGGCAAGTGAAATCATTTTTAACTGGCATGTGATATTAATACCTGTATAATTTTATGTCTGATAGTGGGAAAAGTATCAACTTACAGTTTGTTTTCTTATTTATAATTTATTTCACACCTGATTTGCATGAATTAGATGATATTATAGATAACTTTATGTTTCTTTAAACAAAATATTAAGAATATGAATTAATTATCAGAACTTTTTGTGAGTATGGAAATATAATTAATTAATGTGCTTTCAGAATAGAAAGGAAATCCTTTAATGGCCAAGCCATAACATATTAGCTATTTTTAGCTAATTAGCATATTGACAAAAAATCACCTAATTAAACTCTAGCAAATTAGCTGAATATTAACATCAGATTTTACTAAGTTTAAAGATGTTACCAAATAACGACTTGTATTTAATACTGTTTTTACCTTGTATCACATTTGACCTCTCTTATATTTTTTGTATTTTGATGGAAAAATCTGAATAGATAGTGATTTTTGTGTGTGCAATTATCTATATTTGGAATTATGTACATATATATATATATTAAATCTCATATACATATAAAATAGGATTCTTTTAGAGTTTGTATTTATGTGACAAAATATCCTATTAATAATTTTTAAAGGGAAATAGTACATGTACCTTGTAGTTAGGGATTTTAGACTAATTTTTTATGTTTTAGCATTAAACCTAATTTCAGACTTTAAGATTAATTTTAAAGTTTATACTTTTTGTAATTACAGAGAAATATTTTTGGTTCCTCAAGATATGATTGTGGTCCCCAAAGTATATACTACTCTTCCAGTCTGTATGCTTCACGTTGTTAATAATGACACAATGGAACAAGTGCCAAAGTTGTTCCAAAAAGTGGTACCTTACCTGTATACCAAGAACAAGGTAGATATATCATTTGTCTCCTCATATAATAGAATGATAGTGCAACACCACTACCTTGTAAAAGGTCCAGGAGAAGATAAGGGAGATGAGCTTTCTATCTAATTAACATAAATGGGCTACTAGTCTTTACTTCTGAAAATCTCCTGCCCTGGAGTCAGTTCCAACTCACAGCAACCATATAAACTGAAAACCAAACCCACTGCCATCAAGTTGATTCCATCTCATAGCAACCCTCATTGGGTTTCTGAGGCAGTAAATCTTTATGGAAGTAGATTGCCAAGTCTTTCTTCCATGGAGCAGCTGGTGGATTTGAACCACCAACCTTCTGGTTAGCAGTCAGTTGCCTTAGGTACTGTGCCACCAGAGCTCTTTCAGTGACCATATAGGACAGGATACAACTGCCCCATAGGGTTTCTGAGTCTGTAAATCTTTACTTATAGGAGTATCACTTATTTTACAGCAGGAGGTACTTACTGCGAGCGCTAGAGGATTCTTTAGCTTTCATGTCCCTCGTCTTCTCCTCAAAGAAAATATGACAAAAGTAAAGCATTGTTATTGTTGTTAGTTGTTGCTGAGTTGGTTCTGACTCACAGAGATGTTAGTTACAAGCATACCACATTGGATTGTGGTTTGCTTATAGCACTTCAAAGATACTGCATTTTTTACAAATTTCCTGTTTATGGCAACTGTCGATTGAGCAAGTCTGTTGGTGCCATTTTTCCAATAGCATATGCTCACTTTGTGTCTGTGTGTCACATTTAGGTAATTCTCTCAATATCTCAAACTTTTTCATTATGTTATTGCATGTTTGATAGACTACCAAACCAAAAAACCAAACCCACTGCCATCAAGTCAATTCTTAGTCATAGCGACCCCCATAGGGTTTCCAAGGCTATAAATCTTAAGAAAGCAGGCTGCCTCATCTTTCTCCTGCAGAGTGACTGGTGGCTTCAAACTACCAACCTTTTGGTTAGCAGTCCAATGCCTTAACTACAGAATCACCAGACCTCCATCAGTAGATTACTTTATAGTATGAATGTAACTTTTATAGGCACTGAGAAACTAAAAAATGTGTGTAATTCACTTTATTGCAGTATTCATTATATTGTGCTGGTCTGGAACCACACCTGCACTATCTCCAAGGTGTGCCTATATGACAGAGCCAAGTGTTACCCATGTCAGCACTGTCCTCACAATCGTTGCTGTGTTCTGTCCCACTGTTGCAGCAGCTATGTCAATCCATTTAGTGTCTTCCTCTTTATCACTGGCCCTGTACTTTACCAAGTATAATGTCCTCCATGGATTGGTTTCCCCCATGGACCTGTCCAAAGTAAATGAGTGAAAGTCTCACCATCCTCACTTCTAAGGAGTCTTCTGGCTGTACTTCTTCCAAGACAAATTTGTTCATTCTTATAGCTGTTCATGGTATATTCAGTATTCTCCACCAACACCGTAATTCAAATGTGTCAAAACCAACTTGACAGCACCTAACAACAACCATAAAGAAACCAAGAGCCAGATTCAAGTCCAAATATGTTGGCTGCCTCCCTTGCTTTTTAATAAAATCAATGCTGAGAAATATTCAGATAGTATCCATGCAATTATTAGCAGGCCTCTGTTGAAAGTGAAATACTTCTGTGTCCTGACCTATCCTAGACTTTAGACCTGGAATAAATAATAAGGAATATAAGTGGATCAGCAAAAGGATTTTTCTGTAACCTTATACAAATGCAACGTTCATAGGCCAACCATTATGGTTGTTTCAAAATGAGGAGTGGTTCTGAGCCTGTTTATTACATCCTCTGATGGTAAAGATGGTGGAGAAATGGGGTCATTGTATACCCATACAATCAGAACAGTTAAACTTTGGGGCTCTGGAGGGCCATTTTCTATATTTCAAACAGAAATATAGAAAGCAAGCAAGAAGTTGTAGGCTGTAGATCCTTTAGTATTTGGGTTTATCTTATCTCAGTACAGTCTATCGGCTCTGTGAAGGAGTTGCATCTGTCTCACAGAAAAGCAAAAGGAAATCACCATCTGTTAATCTCTTCCACTTTTCTTGTAAGGGTAATTGTTGAGTGGTAGTTCAGAGGGCGCTGAGTTTCTCCTTCACAGGAAGTAATTGAAATGGTTTATTTTGCATTTTCAAGTCTGAAGATAGTTTTCTTCACTAATAAAAAAAATTAGAATTAAACAGTCATACTTAAAAGACCTGTCATAGATTTAACAAGCCTTCATTGTAGTGTTAAAGTAATTCAATTTCTCTCAAAATACATAAGCTGGAGCTATCTAAGAGGAGTTTCAAACCATGACAATTCTAGATTTATTAAGAGAGCTGGGTGTTTATGTATGTCATGGTGGTAGAGGGAAATCATATATTATACGTTTGAAAAATTAGTAACAACACAGCTTCTTTCTGTGCAATACCTTTTTCTTTCAGAAGGGATACACATTCGTGGCTGAAGCATTTACCGGTGACACGTTTGTGTCAGCTTCCCGATGGAAACTCCGCATCATCGGGCCTTATCATCCACTCCCGTGCCTCTCCCGAGACCCTCCAAGTAATACCTTTGCCATGAAAGAAATCAAAGATTACTACATACCCAATGATAAAAGCATTTTATTCAGGTATACATATGTGACAGTCAGGAAGATGCATTTCTTTTAAAATACTATTTTAAGATAAAGATGCATTCTCCAGAAAAATCCCAAGTCAATTTTGAATTTCAATTTCAGTCTTCTTTGGATAACAGCTAACTAGTAGAGTAATGCAGTTATACAGGTGTCTTGTTACATATGATGGTATTGATAGTTTTTACTCCTCATCCCGCTTGCCTTCCTTCTATCATAGAATCCTTGGTGACACTTTTTCTTCTTACTACTTTCTCCTCCTCCTATTCCGTCGCCTAGTACTATCTTCTACATGCTTCTCTTCATCTGCCAACTTAACCTCTTTTTCCTGCTCCTATAAGTGCTCCCTTTGAATGGACTCATCCTGCCCTCCACTCTCTTCTGTTATTCAGTTCTGCTAATTCTAATTGTGACATGCCTCTCGACACTCTCCCCTCCACTCTATCCTCACTGTCACTGCACTAGTTCAGGCCCACATCATCTTTCCTTTATAAAATTTCTGTGTTTCTGGAATCTATGTCTCCGTTGTATTCTTTTTTTATACTTTATCACTCTCTCTGTCTCTCTATTCATTTACATGTCATCAATGTTACCTTTGTAACACACACACAAAATCTGATTTCACTGCTTTAAAATCTTTGAGAACTTTCTATTGGCTACAGAAAAGAACTCAGACCACTTAACATAATACCCAACACTCTTCCCTGCCATTCCATACACAGAGCACTCTCTAGGTGTAACTAACTACCCACTGGGCACGTATGCCATGTTATTTTACTTTCCTCTTATCTGGTAATGCCCTGAGAGCTCTGGCAGCATAGAGCCTAAGGCACTTGACTGCTAACCAGAAGGCTGGCAGTTCAAACCCACCAGCCACTCCACGGAAGGAAGGTTGGGCAATCTGCTTCCGTAGTGATACTGCCTTGGAAACCCATGGAGGGGTAGCTATGAGTCAGGTCCAACTCCACGGCACATAACAACAACAACAACAACAACAGTAATGTCCTGTCTTGACCCCATTTCTCCACCTAAAAAAACCCATCACTTTTAATTATAACTTTCAACAATCAAATTCTTTGTGATTAATATGTCATATCTTGGTCCTGGTCACATTCCTATGTTGTTAGGTGCCATTGAGTTTGTTGACTCAATTCCGTGACCCTGTGGACAACAGAATAAAACACTGCCCAGCCCTGCACCATCCTCGCAGTTTTTGCTATGCTTTAACCCATCCTTGCAGCCATTGTGTCAATCCAGCTAGTTGAGGGGGCTGGTAATTACGTTTGCGTGTCAACTTGGCTAGGCCTGGCTGAGTGGCTGGGCAACTGGATGTAGTTTTTCCCCATGGTAGGACCGGTGATTAACTCCAGGTGGAATGTATTGGAGCAGCTGAGTAGATATTTTAGGGATGTGATCTGCTTCCCGTATATAAGAAGCAGCTTTGGGAATGGTCTCTAGCTTATGGCATGCTTGGACCCTGCATGTAGCCATGTCATTGTTCAGCAGCCTGCCATGCCCTGCCAACCTTGGGATTTTCAATGGACTTGAATTAGTGGTCTGCCATGTGGTTTGGTAACATTGGGACTGTGCCTTGTTATTTGTCAACCTTGGGCTTGTTAGCCTCAGCAGCCAGTAGCTGCCTGAGTGAAGAGATGCCTCTAGCTTCAGTGGGCCAGGAGCAAGAGGCAGAGCTGAAGCCCAAGGTTGAGGGGCTTCCACCCAGCCCCTAGAGCCTGGCACTTTAAACTCAGACTTAAAGCCTCCATACTTTAAGAGAACAAATTCCTGTTTGTTCAAGCCATCCCATTTGTGGTATATTCTTGTCAGAGTGGCACTAGCTAATCAGAACAAGGGGCTTGCCGTCTTCCACTCACTCTCTGTTTTACCAAAGCATGACATTCTCTTTCAGGGACTGGTCCTTTCAGACAACATGACCAAAGTATGTGAGGTGAAGTCTGCCCATTCTTGCTTCTAAGGAACATTCTGGCTGTACTTCTTCCCAGAAAGATTTGCTCATTCTTCTGGTACTCCATGGTATTTTCAATATGCTTTGCCAACACCATAATTCAAATCCACCAATTTTTCTTCAGTCTTCTTTCTCAATATCCAGCTTTCACATGCATAAGAGGCTATTAACAATACCATGTGTTGGGTCAGGTGCACCTTAATCTTAAAAGGGAAATCTTTGCTCTTTAACACTTTAAAGAAATCTTTTGCAGAAGATTTGCCCAACGCAATATGTTGTTTGATTTCTTGACTGCTACTTCCATGGGTGTTCATTGTGGATGCAAATAAAATGAAATAATTGACAACTTTAATCTTTCTCCATTTAACATGATTTTTCTTATTGGTTCAATTGTGAGGATTTTTGCTTTCTCTGTGTTGAGGTGTAATCCATACTGAAGACTGCAGCCTTTGATCTTCATCAGTAAGTGCTTCAAGTCTTCTTCACTTTCACCAGGCAAAGTTGCAGGCTGTTAATGAGTCTTCTTCCAATCCTGATGCCATGTTCTTCTTCTCAGATATAGATCAGCTTCTTAGATGATATGCTTAGCATGCAGACTGAATAAATATGGTGAAAGGATGCAGTGCTGACACGAAGCTTTCCTGGTAGTAAACCATGCAGTGTCTCCTTGTTATGTTCCTACAGCTGCCCTTTGGTCTACATACAGGTTCCTCATGAGCACAATTAAGTCTTCTGGAATTCCTATTCTTCACAATATTATCCATAATTTGTTATGATCCATAGTTGCATGCCTTTGCATATAGTCAGTGAAACTCAGGTAAACATCTTTCTGGTACTCTTTGCTTTCAGTCAAGATCCATCTAACATCAGTAGTGACATCCCTCATTCCATGCCCTCTTCCAAATCTGGCTTGATATTCTGGCAGTTCTCTGTCAACACACTGCTGTAACCATTTTTGAATTATCTTCAGCACAATTTTACTTATGTGTGATGTTAAGGATATTGTTCCATAATTTCTGGATTCTGTTGGATCGCCTTTCATTGGAATGGGCACAAATATGGATCTCTTCCAGTGAGTTGGCCAGCCAGTTGTCTTCCAAATTTCTTTGCATAAATGAGTAAGCACCAGCACTGGGTGTGTTTGTTGAAACATCTCAAGGGCTATTCTATCAATTCCTGGAATCTCTTGCCAATTACTTCAGGACAGCTTGAACTTCTTCTTTCAATATCATTTGTTCTTGATCATATGCTGCCTCCTGAAATGGTTTAGCAAAACGCCTTGTTCCTTTTAGTGCAGTCACTCTGTGTGTTGCCTCCATCTTCTTTTGATGCTTCCTGTGTCATTAAATATTTTGACCTTAGAGTCCTTCAATGTTGCTTGAATTGTTTCTTCAGTTCTTTCAGCTTCAGAAACAAGTGTCTTAGTTTTCTAAGTCCAGGTCTTTGCACATTTCATTTTAATACTTTACTTTGTCTTCTCAAGCAGCCCTTTGAAATCTGTTCAGCTCTTTTATTTTATCATTTCTTCCATTCACTTTAGCTACTGTCCATTCAAGAGCAAGTTTTAGAGTCTCTTCTGACATCCATTTTGGACTTCTCTTCCTTTACTATCTTTTTAATGTCTTTTTGCTCTCTTCATGTATGACATTCTTGATGTCATAACAATTCATCTGGCCTTTGGTCATTGGTGTTCACTGCATCTAATCTGTTCTTCAAATGGTCTCTAAATTCAGCCAGGATGTAATCTAGGTCATATTTTGGCTCCCATGGACTTGTTTTATCTTCAGCTTCAAGGTAAACTTTGATAGGAGCACTTGATGTTCTGTGCCACAGTCAGTTCCTTGCCTTGTTTTGACTGATGATACAGAATTTCTCTATCTTTTTCCACAAATGTAGTCAATTTGATTCCTGTGTATTCTATCGGGTAGGGTTTATGTGTTGAAAAAAGGTATTTGCAATGAGCAAGTTGTTAGTCTTGCAAAATTCTAGCATGCAATCTCTGGCATCATTTCTTTCACCAAGTCCATATTTTCCTACTACAAATGTTGACTCTTTAGTGCTGATTTTTGCATTCTAGTGACCAGTAGTTACATAGTGTGTGTTCCTGTCATCCTTTGTTAATTGTGAAAACATAGAATATCAATGTTTAGCTCAATTTCCCATAAGCTTCTATGAAATTTTACATTTACTGAAAGTAGGAACTATTGCTTATCGATATAGGACCTATAAAGGCTTGATAAATAGTCTCCATTAAATACATATTGTTAAAAAATAATTGTTAGAATATTTTCTTTTCAACGTATATATTGTTCTGGTTTAATAATTGTTATTGCAGAAAATTTGGAACATATATAAATGTGTCATGTCATGAAGAAAATAAATGTCTTCTATAATTACACAGCCTAAAAACAACCATCATTAGTATTTTGTTGTATTTTCTGGTTGTTTTTACCTGTCACAGTTTAATATTATTAAAATTATAACATGATTACAGCTTTCTAACTCTGATACCTTTACTTAACATTATATTGTGAAAATTTCTCAGTGCCATTATGACATTTTGTGATCCCTTTTTCATGACTGCCCAGTAATCAGATACACAGATATACAACAGTTTACTTGACTATTTTTTATTGTTAAAAATTTCCATATCTACTTTTCTTATAGTATGAATAGAGATATGATGGACATATTTTGTAGTAAATATCAGAGCACATTCTTGACTATTTCTAAGGATTTCTTATATTATTGTGATTATATGTTTTAAAGATGTCATACTAAAGCAAACTTGTTGCTGTTGGGTCGATTCCTATTTATAGTAACCCTCTACGTATCAGTAAATTGCTTTCCAAAAGGAAAACCTAAGACTCTTTGACAATATATGCACAAATAATAATGGCTTTGATTTGTTATATTCTGGTTAAATTTTTTTCCATATTTTTTATTTGCCTATAATTTAAACCCTTTTTCTCCTAAAATCATGCATACATTTCTGTAATAAAATATAATCAACAATATAATTAAATTGCAGAATAATATGTGCAATATAATCCCAAGTATGTTTTTTAGAAGTTTATATATATCATGTATATGTAAAAGTTTATGGAAAAGTCTGAAAGAAAACATACTAAGCTGAGGACAATAGAAGAGGTAGAAGGTTCACTTCTTAATATGTCTACTTCTTATAAGTAGGAGCTCTGGTGGCACAGTGGTTAATGCCCTTGCCTGCTAACCAAAAGGTCAGTGGTTTGAACCCACCAACCATTCTTTGGAAGAAAGATGAGGCACTCTGCTTCAGTAAATATTAATAGCCTTAGAAATTCTATAGGGCAGTTCTACTCTGTCCTATAGGATCTTTATGAGTTGGAATTTACTAGATGGCAGTGGATTTGCAGTCATTTTGCTTCTTATCATGTGTGTGTGTGTGTGTGTGTGTGTGTGTGTGGCCTATTTGAAAGAAAGCAAGAGAAAAAGAAAAGGAAAAAAAAAAGAAAGAAATTACTGTAACAGTTGTGATAAAATGTTTGAACTACTATGATAGGGGAAATATAGGAAACAGTGATACCACATAGCAGGGCCACTAGTAGACTGTTGTTGTTGTTGTTGTTATGTGCCGTCGAGTCGGCCCCGACTCATAGCGACCCCTCCTTGGGTTTCCGAGGCAGTATCACTACGGAAGTAGGATTGCCCAACCTTCCTTCCGAGGAGTGGCTGGTGGGTTTGAACCGCCAGCCGTCTGGTTAGCAGGCAAGTGTCTTAGCCACTATGCTACCAGAGCTCCTACTAGTAGACTAAGAAGTGATTTTTACCCAATTTGTCAGTTAGTCCTTGCAGCCAGTCTTAAAACCATCAAGGGAGTGCTGCTGGAGTTGAGGAGGAAACTGCTTGATCCGCTTATGTGAAAGTTCAGAAGTTAGCAAGGATATGGCCTTTTCAGGAAACTAAAGATACTCATTTTGTTTGTTTGCAAAGAGAGATTCTAGGCTGCTGTGGCAAGCAGTAAGGAGCTCTGGTAGTCCAGGGCCTAAGGCATTTGACTGCTAACCAGAAGGTTGACGGTTCAAGCCCAGCAGCCACTTCGTGGAAGGAAGATGGGGCATCTAACTTCCATAAAGACTTACCATCTTGGAAATCCAGGAGGGGTCACTGTGAGTCAGAATTAACCTAATGACAATGGGTTTGGTGGTTTTTTTTTTTTTGATTGTGGCAAGCAGTAAGGCCAGCCAGATTGGCAGAGCACTTTCCACGAAAGGCTTCATGAGACAAGAAATTTAAATTTTGCCTTAGGGGCAATAACATAATGTTGAAAGAGTTTGAGTAAAGTGATATTACCAGACTCATATTTTATGGAGTTCAGTCACAAGGCAGAAATGTGTTGAGTGGATTGAAAGGGAGCATGGCTGGAGAGAGGGAGGCCAGGTGGGAGCTTTAGAAATAATACTGGTGTGTGAGACAAGGCAATGATAATAAACCTGGAGAGAAGGAAAGAGACTTTAAGATATTGAGGATGTAAAATTGACAGCCTTTGTTGATTGGTACTTCTGGAGTTTGATGGGCTGTGTGGGTGGGGTGGGGGATGGGGGGTACTATTAGGAGAGTAAGTGCCTCTCAGTTAGAGAATCCTGGGCTTAGGGGAGCACATTTTCAGGGTGGGCAACAGGAAGGCAGTAATTCATTTATCAGCATTTATCAGTATAGTAGGCCAATGAAATGTCCCAGTGATGTGACGTAGGTAGTTGGGATGTAGGTATAGATTTGGAAACTATTATTCTGTTTCTGCTCATAGAAGTGCCCAGGGAAGTTTATAAAATGAGGCTAATATCTAGGACGGATCATTATGATTCTTGGACATTTATAAAAATGTCACTGGAAAAGAAGCCTGAAAAAGCAGCCCCAAACTAGGAGGGGAACAATAAGTTATGCTCACAGGGGAAACATTTTTAAAGAAGAGGGGTAAGAGGGTTGGTTCAATACTGGCAAGTTCTCCTGAAAGGTAAAAGTAAGATGAGAACTGAGTTGCTATAGATTTGAAGACAAGCTGCATGAGATGCTGGTAGAACAAGTGTGGCGCATGGACAGTAGGCAGAGTGGCGTGGGAGGTGCTGTAAGCCAGTGGAGATGAGGAGAGGAAGAGATTGGGAAGACAGACTCTCTAGATGATGAAGCCGGGAGGAGTGAAATAGAGCTGAATCTGGGCTGAATGTGGGTTGAAGGTTTTGTTTGTTTTTTGTTTTGTGTTGCTTTATTTTTTAAGATAAAATAAGGGGGAGACTTGCACATGCATAAAAGAGAACAACAAGGAAGAAGAAACAGGAGGAGATAAAAGATACAGGAGAGAAAACATACTCAGGAAAGCAAATTTCCAGAGAAACGGAATGTTCCGATAGGGTCCTGTCCATTTGGAAGGGTTCACCTGAAATAGGAGAAAGACTATCTCTTCGAGAGTATCAAGTGAGGGCTTGGAAAAGGTAGGCGAAGGTACTTGTTTCCAGTCTTTCTGCAGGAGGTTCCCAACCTGTATGTAAAGATTGTGGATGGAGGCAGTGGGTGATTGCTTTTGGTGTCTCTGTATTTTGTGAATTAAAGAAAACATGGTGCCAAGGAGCCTTTGAAAGGCACTCCCTCTGCCCTAGTTGTTCTCTTTGTCTAGCTTTTGTGTAGTGGAAAGGCTTGGTGTGACAGTAGTTTACAGATCTGTAGAGGTTTGATGGGACAGTAGCTTGCAGATCTATCAAGTTTTATAGGTGAGTGCTTATCATACACGTCCTGAGTAGTGCAAGTGGTTAACATGCTCAGCTGTTAACAGAAAGTTTTGGGGTTTGAGCCTAGTCAGAGGCACCTCAGAAGAAAGTCCCGTTCATCTACTTCAAAAAATTTAGCCATTGAAAGCCCTGGGCAGCACAGTTCTACCCAGACAAACAGAGTCACCATGTGTTGGGGGTCAACTCCGCAATGGGTTTGTTCTGTTTTTTCCTGTCTTATCATATCTAAACAAAAAGTGAAGTTGACTGTTTGAGATTTAATAATATTAAAAGTCTTATACACATTTTGGCATAGTGTCTAAAGCATTTGAGTGTTAACCAGAAGGCTGGCGGTTCAAACCCACCAGCCACTCCTTGGAAGGAAGATTGGGCAATCTACTTCCATAGCGATACCACCTCGGAAACCCAAGGAAGGTGTCACTCTGAGTTGAATCAACCCAATAGCAGTGAGTTTGGTGTTTTTTGGTTTATACTCATTTTATTTTACTGCAATATTTTGGGATCTTTTGCCAAAATCTATATTAGCTCTAGTATTTCCAGGATTTTAGTGGAATTTCCTAAGTGGCATTACTTTAAGATGATCATGTGCACAAAATATACAGTTTCTTTGACTGGCTTGAGGTTAAGAACATCATACTTGCTTATATAGTTGAATATTTTTTCTGTAGGTACTCAGTTAAAGGTGCATTACCACATCCTGTTACAGTACAGGTACGCACATCCAAAGCTGACGCATTCATCAAACTGCAGATCCTAGAAAATGAAGAAACTATTGTGAGCACCATTGGGAAGGGACAAGCTATAATCCCAGCATTTAACTTCCTGATGAATGAGAAAGACTTGAGCTCCCAGTGTAAGTGTGGCATTTTAAATTTGCCATTTGGATTTAGAGCTATTTATGTTTATTTGAGACAAATGCAGCTCAGAGCTCCTGCTTTAGACATAGGGAAGTGGAAAGTGTACTCTATTAAACTGTAAATTAAACTGAAACATTAAGTTTTTTCTGCAAAAGAAAAAGAAAATCCTGTTTTCTCGGAACATATGCCCACCATCCCTGAATTAACCCCAGGAATCTCTGGGTGGTACAAACAGATAATGCACTTGGCTCCTAACCAAAAGGTTGTACGTTTAAGTCCACCCAGAGGCATCTCGGAAGAAAGACCTGGTGATCTTCTGAAAAATCATCCATTGAAAACCCCGGGGAGCACAGTTGTGTTCTAACACACATGGAGTTGCTATGAGGTGGAATTAACTCAACGTCAGCTTGTTTATTAGTTCTCAGTAGTATTAAGGAAGGAGCTCTGGTAGCATAGTGCCTAAGGCACTTGACTGCTAACCAGAAGCTGGCGGTTCAAACCCACCAGCCACTCCTCAGAAGGAAGGTTGGGTAAAATCTACTTCCCTAGAGATACCGCTACTGCCTCGGAAACCCAAGGAGGGGTCGCTGTGAGTCAGGTCCGACTTGAGAGCACATAACAACAACAGTATTAAGGCACTCTGGTGGTGCAGTGCAGTAGTGTTGGTGGTCTCTTACTCAAATCTGCCCACCTTGCATTTATATATTTTTCTTCAGCTATGTTAAGACCATTAATCAGAGTACTGTGAAGATAACTCACTCTCTCTCTTTGAAATGGCTTTGTTTTCTTTGCTCTAATCCATTCTCTGTAGATTTCATAATTTGTTTCTTGTGGGATACCTTAATTTCAAAGATTTCACAAGAACCTCTGTGCATCTCTCCTATTCCACTAATAGCCTCAAGGTTTTTCTTTGAAAAAATGAGCCACCACCAACATCCATCCTCAATTTTCTGGCTTAAATAGCTAGAGGTAAATACAGTTTATGGTTTATCACACCATTGATCACTATTTCACTTCAAAACTCACATTTTACAAGAAAAATATATACACATTCAAACCAACTTTATGAGTTGAGTTCTGGTAAAGAAACAGACAGATAGAAGAATAGAGCAGGGGGATAATTGGGATAGAATTCAGAAGTTCATCTGGAAACAGAGCCATTGTCCATGACTGCTCTCCTTTCCCAAGATACTTCAGTTTTTACATTTGTATTCCCAGATGAACTTCCATATGATTCTTCAAGTTGACCTTAAAATGCAAAAAAAAAAAAAAATCTGTCATTATTTTTCTTCTGACTGCCTGGGATATATAGATTAATTAATGAAGAAGAAGGGATAACTTCACAACATTAAATTTGTATCAAAGTACAGGTGATTTCCTTCCATTTATTCATGACTTCTTTATATTATACAGAAAAAAATTAAAGTTTCCTTCATATAGATTGAAAGTGTTATTATTGTGAATTAGGTCTTTTCTTCATTTAGATTCCAAACATGGTGTAGTTTAAAAGAAAAAAATTAAAAGGGGAGCTCTGGTACTGTAGTGCCTAAGGCACTTGATTGCTAACCAGATGGCTGGCAGTTCAAACCCACCAGCCACTCCCCAGAAGGAAGGTTGGGCAATCTACTTCCGTAGTGATACTGCCTCGGAAACCCAAGGAGGGGTTGCTATGAGTCGGGCCTGACTCAACAGCACATAACAATAACAACAATGTGATAAAATATGTACACCAACAGTTATGCCATTCTAACCTTTCTTAGGCATACAATTCAACATCAGCCACATTCACCACATTGTGCAACCATCACCACAATGTATCTCCAAGAGCTTTTCATCAACCCAAACAAAAACTCAGTACTTCTTAAGCAATAATTCCTCATTTAAATGATATTATTTTTAATGGGATGCTATTAATTTGTGTTTTTCAGGAATATATTAGACAGTGTTTCATTGCTATTCATAATGTTTTCATTGGCCAGTTCTTTAAGAATTGGATGGCTCCTTCCTTCTTCCAAGTCTGTCTTAGTCTGCAATCTCCACTGAAACCCATCCACCATGGGTCACCCTGCTAGTATTTGAAATACCTCCTAAATTCTATCCCAATTACCTCCTACTTTGTTCTGTCAGTGGTGGCTTGCGTCTTGCTGTGAGGCTGGAGACTATGCCA